TTCATCTAAAAAACAGATTTTTTGCAGTAAATCCTTTCCTTGTTTTACTTCATCCATAACTTGTGTGAGGACAGAGGAGGAACTTTAAAGTTTAATAGTGTTTGGCATCGAATGGACTTTAAGAATGTAAGTCTGTTCAACCTTGAGGATTAAGAAATGGAGGCGACTTTCTAAGGACACTTGAGGTTCATCGTGGACACCTATGTCCTGGAGGACTTCATGTTTGCCATATCTTACCGTTGACTCGTCCTCTGTAGAAAACCCTACTGCTCACCAAACACGTGTAGCTGAGTGTTTCGCCCACACAGTGGGATGTCATTACTTTATCTTCTAAGCTCAACATACACTTACCTGTTGTTCTCTGTGGCTCAGTGGGAAGCCGGTTCCTGTGCCGACTGGTCTTCTGATCATCCAGCGCCGCTGCCACCATCTCTGTGTCCCTTTAATCATGCTGTCAGAAATATGTTCTTTGAGTTTTTGTAATGTCTCTGAGTCTGATTCTTGGTCTAGTTAGCATCAAAGGGTGCCACAAATCAACCTTTTGCAATGATTGACAAGCCAACTATTTTTTTTTTCAGTTGCACTCCGAGTATTAATTCATTTTTGATTAGTGTTTTCATGCAAAGGGCAACATCACAAAGCTGAACGGCTTGTGTGCTTGAGTTTTTAAGTGCTCTTCAAAACATACACAGCTTCAGGTTCATTGTTGACTCTGAATTGACCATAGGTACGACTGTGACTGTGATTGGTTGTTGGCTTCTGTATAGGGCCTATAGGTGGTGGATTGGTGAACTGTACAGGGCCCACTGTTGCCTGATGACGGCTGAGATTGATTAAAATGTAGTGGAAAAATGGCCTGCAGGAGGTGCTATAAATGAATGTGCCATTATTCATGATTTAATTGTCTTGTTTATAGTTTCAGCACTCAGTCAGAACTGTTACAATGGTTTTATGAAAATGAGCAATTCCCTAAATCAGGAAAGGGAAAACTGTTATGGTCGCAGTTCCCAAAGTAGGGTACGGGGCCCCCTATAGGGTGTGCAGAGATATTGGGGGCAGGGAGGATATTATAATTATAATACATGACAAATCTTTGAAGTCTCAACTTCAAATTATTATAATTTGTGAAAGAGTCAAGTTTTATTTTTTTCAGAAAATAATTACTAAAAGACATTTTTCAATTCAATTTGTGGGAAAGGAAGAAAGAGAAAACACTACTTGAAAATTATATATATATATATATAAACCCAATATAATGTAAGTTAATAATTCCAGTAACTGTGTATACTTTAATACTTTAATAGTGGGAGTGGTCGACAGATAGGTAGGGAAATAAAACTTGATCAGTAAATTCTGGTGTAAGGCACTATCCTTCATCTAAGTGGACACTTCTTCACCCTATCATTTTAACTAAGTGAGACTCACAGAAGTGCTAATCAATGAATGGTGTTCCCTGGCTTTTCTTCAAGCCAATAGGTTTTGATTGCGAGTGTTTGGTGCAGGGTGACAGGCCACTACTCCTCCTCTAATTAAACCACTCATCCAGCTCCTCTGATTGGCATGTGGTTCCCACACACTGGCAAACGTGAAGGGTAGAGAAACTGGAGTTAGGGAGTCGTTGGGGTCAGCTGAGTGGGGTGAGGAGGGGGGAGACGAAGAAATAAGGCAATTGATGGAAGCGGGTGGTGGGAAAGAGAGAATGAATTAAAGGCCGGGAGCAGGGAGCTGCTGTGAGAAAATCAAAGGGGCAGTATCTCTGGGTTTTAAGAGTGAGGTGCTGAACCACTTGCCTCATCTGAATTTGAAAAGAGGAAGAGTAGATCAACATGAGTAAACATCAGGGAAAAATGAGGCTGAGATTTCTCACCTCATCCAAAAACAGATTTACCAACTTCAGGGGAGATTGTATTCAATGCTACCTGACAGGGGTCTCCCATGCTTTCAGGTGGAAGACCCTCCAATTTAAAGGAGGCATAGAGCAGGGATTTAACTCCCAAATCTGAGGCGGAGCCTGCTGAGCTGCGCCTCCGTCGGTGAACACACCTTATCACAGAAATATCCAATTAACTGAAGTAAATGCAGAGACAGACAAAGGACAATCAACTGATCAGTCCAGGGGACTCGTACGCCTTAGCTCTGCTCAAAGGTCACACATTGTCCTGTAAGACTCTGCAGGAGGGAATGACTTCAACACTTGCAGCTTAGTGGGATGATCCCCACTGGAGCAACAAATGATGAAATTGCTGGCCCTCGCTGCTTCTTTCCAGCCCTTAATTTATGCATCGCGCTCTTTATTCCACCGGCACATGACACAGAAATCAATTGAGGTCTTGCATCTTTAAAGACTGTGCTCATTTTTTCTAGTTTTAGCCATTTTGAATAAATCAGACTGGTTGTTTAATCAATGTCAAAATCTAATATCAAGATCAGAGCAGATCCGGCGTTTAAATAAACTAATAAATATAGAAAGAACACGTCTGTAGTACTGTGTAGTCAATTATATTTGGTCTGGGGAACACTTCGTTATCATTATTTTTTATTAAAGAAAAAATATATAATTTACACATCTTGTATTTCATTTTTTTTTTTCTACCAATAGTTGTGTCCTTTTCTCCTGAAACACATTGATTTCTTTTAAGGGAACATAATCTTTAAAAGTAAAGCAGGAATATAAATACAGATGGCTGGGCTCCAGCTCTGGTCCTAACATCAGTTGTGAGCTTCGGTGTAAAGTGTGGAAGAAAGCAGCCCTGCCACTTTAAATATTTCAATAAGTAAAACCTGCAGCTGAAAATGATTGATTAAATGCCCTTGCAGTGTTTTTCCTTCCCTGCTCCTCAGCAGGCAGCCAGCTGCAAAGCCAGGATGCTGGGGAAATGTTACCTCTTCATCCACCCAGTGGGTGAAAATTAACACAAATGAAGACACTCTAGAAGTGTCTGCAACTGAATACTTTTCATAGATGTGTGACCAGATCCTATTAAAACAAACTATGCGTTAATGAAGTCGCCAGAGTTCCATACAGCATGAGGAGAATTATATGTTATTTTAACACGTTAGCTACAGCCACACAGGAGGGTCGGCAGGTCATACATTAATGTGCATTAAAAATCTGTGCAGTATATTCAGGGGATCTGTGGCGCTTTGGCCCAGAGGCAATGTCTCTGTCATAGGTGTGGAACCCCAGGGTTCAGGGGGGGGGGGGGGGGGGGGAGTGTGATTTGGGTGATGGTCATAGAGACTGCTGCCCCCATGACCCGGCAACAGATAAGCAGATGAAAATGGATGGATGGATGGATATTCAGGGGATCCTTCACTTATGTCACAGTTCTGGTCCTATGGAGCGACATAACCTGATTTTTAGACCTTTAAATTTCTGGTACTAGGCTTTACAGACATTTACTGCAACTTTACACACAACTCTTAATGTTGGGTTTTTGAAATCGTTTGTGAAATTGTTGGTCTGTTGAGCCTTAACCAGCTTAAAAAGTTCTAAAAGAGAGCAGATCCGAACAAACCTCAGTTCTTAATCAAAATATCGTAGGCTCCCAAATTAAGGCTAGACTTTGAAAAATAATTTCATTAAAATCATTATTTTTGACACAATTAACAATAACAATTGAGAAATATCTTTTTCTAGTGTCTAATTATTATACCAGATGTAATTGGCCTCACACACAATGACACGCTTCATCTGTATGGTGCTGCTGCACTGGGGACCGAGAGCTGAACTGATCTGTGATCACTTTTACTTATACCAAGCAAATCAAGTCTGCCAGTGTTACCGGCTGACTCCTCCGGTGAGTCGTGCACAGGACCGGGAAGACGACGAGAGGCTCACTGTAACAATAATACCCTTAAAAACAAGTGGTCAGTCTGTAGACCACGACCACCTCTCATGGCTGAAGAAGCAGCAGATGGAGTGATATGTGTTGCAGTGTACTGAGATAAAGTTTAAAATCAAGCATTGAGTGTTCATTGGCTAGTTAGGCTTTCCACTTTGCCTCCATTGCAAATATGAATATGTGCCATAATGGAGGAGCAGGAAGAGGCGCAGGAGGAGGCAGTTGATCAGAGGTGTGGGGAGTGAAGATGCAGAGATGTGAGTTGAGGGGTGGCTGGAGAAAAAGAGAGAGAGAGAGAGGGAGGGAGGGAGGGAGGTAAGGAGGGAGGGCCGTGTGCATGACATCATTCCCTCAGCTTCCCTGCGCGGACACAGCTCTGGTTTCTCCCGAGTACGCACGGTGGCTGCTGCTGCTGCTCCTGCTCCTGCTGCTGCTGGTGCTGAGGGAGCGGCTCCTCCCGCCGGACCCCGGAGCGTCCCGAGCA